GGAACTGCTGCAACTCCTTCACGTTCTCCGGAACTTTCCACTTCTTGACGGCTTCGATCTTCCGCGGGTCCACGTGTACGCCCTCGGCACTCACCATGTGCCCGAGAAACTGCACCTTCTTCAGGGCGAAGTCGCTCTTCGAAAGCTTCACGTAGAACTTGTTTTTCCGCAGGATCTCGAACACCTTCCGCAGATGCTCCACGTGCTCCTTCATGTTCTTGGAGTAGATGAGGATATCGTCCAGGTACACCACTACGCACTCGTCCAGCAGGGGCCGTAGAATATGGTTCATTTCCGCCTGGAATGTTGCTGGTGCGTTGCAGAGTCCGAACGGCATCACCAAGTATTCGTAGGAGCCGTATCGAGTACGGAACGCCGTCTTGTGGATCGAGTTGTCCGCCATCTTGATCTGCCAGTAACCCGACCGTAGGTCCAGCTTCGAGAAGACTGTTGCACCACGCAGTTGGTCCAGTAAGTCGTCGATGCGCGGTATGGGGTATTTGTTTTTAACTGTCTGTTTGTTCAGTGCGCGGTAGTCGATGCACATCCGTAAGCTGCCGTCTGGTTTTGGAGTGAAGAGAACTGGTGCACCGTAGGGAGAGGTGGATGGGCGGATCAATTGTCTGTCTAGTAGATACTCTATCTGTTTCTTCATGTCTGTCAGTTCGGTCGGACTCAGTCGGTATGGTGCACGTGAGACGGGTTTCGCACCTGGTTCCTCCACGATCTCGTGCTCGTGGGTGCGTGCTGGAGGTACGCCTGCAGGTAGGTCGTCGGGCATTATATCTTTGTACTGCTCCAAGACCTCCTTCACTGCTGCAGGGAGCTCGGAACTCGGCTTCTCCTCCTCTGCCGCTGCCATGACCAGTGCTAGGTAACCCGTGTTACTCTCGTTCACTGTCTGTTCGAACCGTGCCAGTGTCGTCTCAGGTACGTCCCTTGTATCCGTCCAGCTTCGTAGTGCTATCCGCTTCCCGTTGTTGTAGATGCACATCTGCTGTTGATCCAATCGATCTCGGGGTTGAACCGCTTCAGAAAATCTCGCCCCAAGATAAAATCTAACCCTTTGATGTTGGTGACTGGTAGCTTCGGCTTCCACCTCAACGCACCTATATGCAGCTGCAGTGATGCTTCGCCGTGGATAGGAAGTTTCGTACCGTCCACCATGGTTGCTGAAAACTGGGTCTCCTCTGCCTTCTCTCCAATTTTCTCCAATGCTCCGCGGTCACACACCGAGTGAGATGCACCGCTGTCCACCAGTGCCTGGAGGCGTCGTCCATTGCATAACACCTCGAGGAGTAGTGGTTTCTGCTGCGCTGAGTAGCCAAAGAGGGTCTCATTAATAGGATCATAGGGTACATCAAACTTAATACCTTCCCTTTTTCCTATACCCGACTCAGCACTTTCCAACTTCACCTGGGGGGTGGGAGGATTTTTCCGAGGCTTGTATATTTTCTCCTGAGCCTGGATGCCTCCTCTAAGCCTTGGCAGCTGTATAGGCTTCACCTGTGGGCAACGGGGAGCCTTAACACTGTGTTGCGGGGAGAGAATATTAACTCCACGGAACGCACGACCTTTTTCTACGCTCCGTAGTACTTTGCCCAACTTCTCAGGTACCTGAATGATTTCTAAAGGCTTTTTCTTAGCCTCTAAACCTCCCCTGATTTTTTCAAAGGCTTGAAAACCACGAGAAGCAATATTCTTCGTTAGAGTATCTTTATAGGATACTTTTAACGAATTCTTACTTTCGTGGGTGTTCGGCTGGAGTTTCCCGGTCGGTGCAGAGTCTTTTTTCGCGGAGCCTCCATTCGCCTCGGCGATTTCCCCTGATGCCGGCCGGTCGTGACGTTTTTGATTCGCGCCATCATTTTCTCCTTTTTTCGCCCGCTCCGAAGTCGCCACGTCGTCGCCTTTTCCTTCTTTTCGGATCTTTACGCGATCGCCAGGTCGATCCGCGGCTACTGGCGATTCCCGTTTTTTTACTTCGGGGGTGCTCCACTGTTTCCGTCCCGGAGTGCCGCACGTGCTTTCTTCATTTTGTAGCACGACAAAAACTGATGCCCTGCTGCGCCGCAAAATTCGCATTTTGTCGGTTGCTGCTTCGCGTCGTATTTGTCGATATCCATCGGTTCGGCGAACGTGGGGGGTGCCGATCGCTCCGTGCCGAATGTACGGTTCGGCGTGAAGCGTCGTGTTTCGGGTTGACCTCGAGTCAGCGCGTCGTATCGCTCGGCAGCACGCACGATGTCCCTGTAGCTGTTGTAATTCGCCGCGATCACCTGCCGCCGAATCTCCATTTTTAACCCTTCGGTGTACGCCTGGATTTTTTCGCCTTCGGTCAGGTCGGTGATGCGGTTGAACAGTAACTCCATCTGCTGCGTGTACTGTGCTACACTACTGTATTGCTTGTGTCGGTGTATCTGCTGCCGCGCCATGTAGGTCGTATTAATTGGTTCGAAACGCTCGATTAAATCTGCCCGAAACTGCTGCCACGTTTTCTCCCCGCGGGCTACGTCGGTGTAGTAAATCCATTCGAGAGCCGGTCCACGTAACATTGTCGCTGCGAGCCGAATCCTTGCAGCGTCGTGTTGCGGGGTCGAACAGCCAATGGCCTCGAAGTAAATTTCGAGGGTGGCCACAAATCGCCGGACGTCGGATCCTTTCGCGCTTGGATCGAACGCCTCAGGGAGCCTCGGTCGTGCTGCTTCGAGGTTCGGCGACAGTGGTGCCATCGGTCCGTGAAATGTCGGTGTCGCCACTGCTGCTGGAGTTGTGCGTGTCACGGACTGAGGCAAGGCGGTCAGGGAGGCTAGTGGCGATGAAATAGATAGTAATCGCCATGGGGGGAGGGAGCAGTGCAAGCTGTGCCTCAGTGCAAGCAGCGCGGTAGCTAGAATCAAGCGAGCGGAGGTGAGCAATCAAGTCAGCAGAGCGCTCAAACGAGGCGAGGTCAGGAAACAGGAACGGTAGGAAGAGTCGGCCAAGAGAGACAGTGGTGGGAGTAGCGTAGCGGGCCTTAATCGCAGTCAGGAACTCACTAGCAGTGCGAACCTGAGTGAAGTGGGCCTCCTCAGACTCAGGGAGGAGGCTGCTAAGAGCGATGCAGGCCGCAGCGTCACGCGACTTCCACGCCGTCAGGTCAGCACGCTGGCGGGTGAAGCGGTCCCTGGCTGCGTCGTCAGGGGCAGTGCCTAAAGGCGTAGGGTCGTCGGGCGCTGGAAGGTCACCAGTAGCGTGCGCCCAAAGGGACTCGCCCGCCTGAACCTGACTCTCTAAGAGGCGACACACACGTAGGAGTCAGACTGGGAACTCGAGCGGTCTACCGTCAGCGTCGAAGCGAAGAACCCTAGGAGTCGCCACAGTGTAAGTAGAGGCGACAAGTCGAGCGGTGGGTGGCACCGGTAGGGACGGTAGGCGGCTAGGGCAAGTCTGTGACGGGTGCGAAACGCGGGCGCAACGGGGCTAGGGGCGGTCCCGCGGCGGACTGAACGTGTAGGCGCAGCGGTGCGAAGGGCCTAACGAGCTGGCCCGTAGCGGACCTAACGAGGAGGCGCGGCGGCTGGCTGAACGGGCAGGCGCGGCGGCTGTAAGGGAGGGCCCGTGGCGGGCCTTAACAATAGGCGCGGCGGCTGTAAGGGAGGGCCCGTGGCGGGCCTTAACAATAGGCGCGGCGGCTGTAAGGGAGGGCCCGTGGCGGCTGAAAGGGAGGGCCCGCGGCGGGCCTAACTAGCAGGTGCGGCGGCTGTAAGGGAGGGCCCGCGGCTGCTGTAAGGGAGGGCCCGCGGTGGGCCTGACTAGTAGGCGCGGCGACGGGCGGTACGGGCAGGCGCGGCGACGAAACTAGGGCGCCGCGAGGACGAAGAGCGGGGCGCCGCGGCGACGAAACGCGGGGCGCCGCGGCGACGAAACGCGGGGCGCCGCGGCGACGAAACGCGGGGCCCCGCGGCGACGAAATGCGGGCGTTGCGGTGACGAAACGGGGGGCGCCGCGGCGACGAAACGCGGGCGCCGCGGCGACGAAACGCGGGCGTTTAGGGCAGCGGGGGGAGGACGCAACGCGAGCGGGGGAGGGCGTGACGGGACGAGAAGCCGGGGAGAGCGCGACGCGACGGGTAGGAGGGGAGAAGGCGCTACGCTACGCGGAAAGCGGGTCGGCGGAGCGAGCGCTAACGAACGAGCGAGACTGGATCGGGCCGGCGCTAACGAACGAGCGAGACTGGATCGGGCCGGCACTAACGAACGAGCGAGACTGGATCGGGCCGGCGCTAACGAACGAGCGAGACTGGATCGGGCCGGCACTAGGCTCGGGCAAGACGGGTACGACTAGTACGAGAGAGCGAGACAGGCTCGGGCGGAATGAACGAGGACGAGAGGTGCGGGATCCCACAGGATCCTGACCTAGGTGATACCATTTCAAGAACGAAAGTGTTGGTTCATTGATATGGGTTGGGGTACATATAACAAACCCTAACATTTGTACCCCCTAAGACAAACCTCACTACAGGCTACAACATTTGACATATACCTGTTCAAATTCGCCAGTTCCAACAACTCTTGCTCGATCTTCTTGTCTGAATATAACTCCTTTCAAGGGGTTGTGCTGTGAATCCACCTACACCGTATCTTCTTGCGCAATGCCTTCCTGCGCCGCGTTTTCATGCGCCTTTTCCCACACCATATCGTCTAAGATACACTGCTGCACCAACGCAATGTCCTGGTCCCAAATCATCATATTATACGTCACTTGGTCCCTTAGCCGCTCCTCATTATCCGCCTGCAACCGCAGCTGATTCTGCTGATCCAGCCAAATATTATGCTCCCAGTCCCCTTCTCCTGCATTTCCCACTTTCCCATTCCCCTGCTCCGCATTCCTTGGTTCCTGATTCGCCGCATTCGCATGATCCGCCAGCCCATCGTGCCTTTCCGTTCCTGCCTTTCCTGTTCCTGCCTCGCCTGTTCCTGCTTCTTATGTTCCTGCTGATCCAACCACATGTTGTAATACTACGCATCGTGATCCCGCCAATCCTGATCCTGCCTCTTCGCGTCAAAATTACTAGTATCCACCTCGGATTGCCCGTTCGGCTCCGGACTTTCCTTCTTCGAACTCTCCAGCGCTGCATTCTCATTCTTGTTCTCCTGCTTCTCCGGCTCCGGATCCTCATGTCCCTGCCGCTTATCCTTCAGCCTCTGCATCTTCAGCCGATATTTCTCCTTCACCTGTTGCTGCTTCGTCAGATGCTCCTGCCTCTTCTGCTCCGCCTCTTTCTGCCGCTTATCCATGACTCCCTGCTGCATCGCCAACCGCTGCTCCTCCGTCATCCCGTGCCATTGCTTCAGCGCCGCCTTCTCTTCTTCCAGCCGCTTCTTCAGCTTCTCCAGCTGCTGCTTCTTCCGCAGCTTCTGCTGCTTTGTCAGCGCCCCCTGAACTGCCAGCTTTCTCTTCGGGAAGTGCCTCGCAAGGTTTGATGCCTCCAGCTGCTCTGCGGCAGGCTTCTCTTCAGAAAGTGCCTGATCCTCTTGCGCCTGCTGCTGCAGTTCTCGCTGCACTGGAGTGTCCTGTTGTACTTGCAAGCGAGAGTGCGGATTGCCAGAGTTACCAGCCGCCGGAGTGCCGCCCGGTGAATGAAGCTTGGTCTACGAGTCTGCCTGTAAGGCACAGATTGGGAGAGAGTTGGGAGAAGTTTCGAGGCATGAGTTTTAGATTCGATTCCTAGAGACAGATTGCGGATCTGCGACCGTAAGGGAGCAGACTCGGAGGGAGTTTGAAAATTAAAAGAGCGGAAAGTGGGTGGAATCTGCGTGAGGTTGAGCACTTAGACAAAACAAACAGAAGAGGGAGGCGTTGGTACTGTATAGATGGCTCCTGGACATTATAACAGAGAAAGCTAGACGTGGCGGAAAGTTGATAGCTGGTGATCATCGTGGGGGGAGAAGCGGGACCATTTGCTTGTCTTCATCCCCTCGCACTTTTATCTCACTTGTGCGTATGAACGCGGCGTCTTACGTCGATCGATATCATGTTGAGGCTCCACGTGATTGGCTGAAGATAGCCAGTCCCCGGGCCGAGCTCCTTCGCTGCCTCGCAGCCCGCACGACAAGGCCAGAACAAAAAATAATTCCAAGAGCGGCATGGTGACGAATTCAACTTCAAAGGGGTGGGTAGTTGAGTACCGGTAGTAGGCGGCTGCTGAGTTTGCTCCATGGATGGTGTGGAGTTATGTGTATGGGAGAATAAGCCTTAGAGGATGCGCGAGGAGGAGCCGCAACCAGTCCATGTGTAACACATCACCTACCTACCCTAGCAACTATCCTAGATAAGGCTCTCTAAAGCGCTACCTACGCAAGGTAACGACTTACGGGAAGAAAGGGTTGGAAGGGATGATTGTTGATTGGTCCACAAATTGTGAATCACCACCCACTAAAAGACAAACAAGGTTGGGAACCAACCCAACCTTCACATTGGTGGAAATTCAAACCAATAACATTTCAATGTTGCTGTTACAAGTTACAACAGGTAACCAGACAATTCTTATCACAAATAAGTTGCTCTCATTGGTTGCAAATCCAACCAATATGCCACCTAAGCAAACTCACCTTAAGGAGCTCCTTGCCGTTGTTGCCATGGAGGAGGTGGAGCTCCCCAAGGGGTATTGAGGAAGGGGTTTGGAGCTCCAAGGCCCATTGTCTCATTCCCAACTCCAATTGATCAATTTTGGAAATGGGATTTTCTCTCTAAGTCCAAGTCTTCTCCCTCACAAGTGCTCCAAGCATCAATCACCCTCTTGGTGAAGCTACCCCTTTCACTTCCAAGGCTTCACCTATTAAGTCTTCAAGAGTCAAGACTACTTTTGGGACTAGTCTCTATTGTATGTGTGTGTTCTTGGCAGTTTATAAGCCTACTATTGACCCTTTTGTGGGCATTCTTTTATAAGCCCGGGTTTTTATTGTGATTTTAAGGGCGTTTTCATATAAGCCTATGTTACATTTGGTATCAGAGATTTGGTTATCCTTGGCCCTGCATGGCTAACTAGATTTTTTTTTAGGAGTTACTAGATCTTAGATCTAGAATACCCTCGAGCTCTTTTAAGAAGAGTTGAGAGACTCCAAAGATGAAGAAATCTTCTTCAAGGATCCCAAGATCTAAATGCTCTTTGAGCTTTAAGAGAATTTATTCTCTTACCCACCTTCTTGGTGGATGACTCATAGCTATTTTTTTTTAATAGCAGAGTGATACAGATCTAAGAGATTTGTTAAAAGATTCCTCTTAGCTTGCTCTATGAGCAGTTTGGGGAACTTTCTCTATTTCCTTATTGGGATAGAAGACTTATTTAACAACTCTTTCTCTGTACCTTTCTCTTTGTGAGAATATTGATCTATATAAAAAATTTCTGGAAATTTTCAGAATCTCTTGCCTATCACCTTGAGTAATAGAGGACCCTTATTAAGATCATATTTCTTAACAGAGAAGAACCACTCTTCTTAAGCTCCTATGGCTACTCCTCATGAGGAACCACCAAAGGAGGATGTCCCTATGACCTCAGTTGATGAACTGGAAGACTTTCCAGACCTTGACCTTAATGCTGAGGACGTCATAGGGGACCTTCTTATGGAAGAGGAAGAAGCCCTGGGAAACCAGGAAGAGAATGGAGAACAGGAAGGGCTTGATGACCTCGGCACGGATGACAACTTTCCGGAGGAGTTTGAAAAACTTCAATCCACAGTGGCCGAGCAAGCAACTTCCTTGCTGCAGCAGAAACGTCGGATCAATGAGCTTGAGACTCAGATTATTGAGCAGAATGCCTCAATTGACACGATCAAAGCTCAGCTTAACAAAGTCACTGCCGAGGCTCGTCAATTTAGGAGGTCTCTTGGCCTCAAGGCCAACCAGATCAAGAGCCTTGAAGATACTCTGCAGCAGCTCAATGCTACGTGCATTAACCTCGAATCAACATGCACGACGCTGCAAGCACAGTATAGGGAGCTCATGAGGGGCGGTATTTACCGCCCCCCTCCTAACAATGGGCAGCCTTCTACTTCTGCCGAAGCTCCAACAGAGCAGCCGATGTCGCCTGACGCAATCGGCATTTGGATCGCTTCCCACTGCCTTGCCGATTTTCATTCATGGCAAGACGAACGTGGAATCTTGGCTTCATCTTGTGGAGGAAATGCTTTCCATCCACAACGTGCGCCTTAACGCACGTGTTATTGCTGCTACTGGTGCTCTCGATGAGACTGCGCGTAACACAGTCTACAGCACTATGAAGCTCGCCAAGGCAACGTCGGCCACCTTCGGATGGTCCGATTTTTGCAGCGCGATGAAGGATGCTTTCCATGTGCAAAAGACTGACCTGGAAGTGCGCAGCCGCATCAACAGCATGCAGTGTGGTAATCACACTGTTCAGGAGTACGCCAATGAGTTTGAACGGACTATGCTACTCCTGACCGTCGCTCTCACTGAGAACGAGGCAATGACGTCGTTCTACGAAGGCTTACCGCAGTGGCTTCGCGAGAGGCTGGTGCTGGGCATGCCAGTATGCCACGTACAAGGAGCTCAAAACAGCTGTAATTGAGCTTGACGTGAGCGTCCGCACCTGCCTCAATGCCGCCAAGGGTCGCCTGCAGAATCGGGGATGAAGGCACTAGTGGCCAGAACAATGCGGCGCAGCCTTCTAATGGGAAGGGCCCTTGGAAGAAGAGGCCTTTTCAGCCGCAGAGCCAGCAGAATGGCCCTCAGCCTAAGAAGCCCTTTCACCAGGGTGGCCAGCAGAGGAACGGCATTCCTTTCTGCACCTACTGCAAGAAGAAGGGTCATACGAAGGGACAGTGCCGTACGCTGAAAAGGGCGGAGGATTCTGGCAAGTCGCCGCAGGCGAACAAGAAGGGAGATGCAGGACCTTCAGGCTCGCGCCAGGATTTTCACAAGTCCAAGTAGGGTGTGGGTACCTAGTGTCAGAAGTGTCAAACATTATATATGTTGTGTTAGTTTAGGCTACAGTGGGTTAGCCTATAGGGGGTACACAATTCTAGGGTTAGGTACTTGTACTCTTTTCATTTGCTAGTTCATTCATTCCTGTTCAGTGATTCCAACATGGTATAGAGCAGGTCCTTCCTAGGACCGAAATTTTCTAAGGGCCCACCACTACGTAACTACCTACCTACCTACCTACCCGTGCCCTAGGGCGCCTCGGCGTGTCACGCCCCTAGAGGCCCCTCTTGACGGCCCCGCGCTAGCCCCGTTCAGGCCCCGTCGGCCCCTTTAAGGCCCCTTTCAGGCCCCGCGCTAGCCCCGTTTAGGCCCCGTCGGCCCCGTTTCAGGCCCCGTCGGCCCCGCGCTAGCCCCTCTCAGGCCCCGTCGGCCCGCGCTAGCCCCGTTTCAGGCCCCGTCGGCCCCTTTTCAGGCCCCGTCGGCCCCACGCTAGCCCCTCTCAGGCCCCGTCGGCCCGCGCTAGCCCCGTTTCAGGCCCCGTCGGCCCCGTTTCAGGCCCCGTCGGCCCCGCGCTAGCCCCTCTCAGGCCCCGTCGGCCCGCGCTAGCCCCGTTTCAGGCCCCGTCGGCCCGCGCTAGCCCCGTTTCAGGCCCCGTAGGCCCCGCGCTAGCCCCTCTCAGGCCCCGTCGGCCCCGCGCTAGCCCCATTCAGGCCCCGATCGGGCCCGCGCTAGCCCCGTTTCAGGCCCCTTCGGCCCCGTTTCAGGCCCCGTCGGCCCCGCGCTAGCCCCGTTCAGGCCCCGTCGGCCCCTTGCTAGCCCCGTCAAGGCCCCGTTTGGCCCCGCGCTACCCCCGCTCAGGCCCCGATCGGCCCCGCGCTCGCCCCTCTAGGGCCCCAACCGGCCCCGTGCCGACCTCGCCGACCCGTGCCCACCACCCAGAGGCCCCGGGCGGCCCGTTCCTGCCGCAGCACACGAGGGAGAGCGGGCGGCTCGTCCCCGCCGTGACCCGAGCCGAGCCGCGCGCCCCGAGCCGAGCCGCGCCACCCAGCCGAGCCGCGACCCGACCTGAACCGAGCCGCGCCGCCCTGCCCTACCTGGTTCGTCCTACCTGCTTCTCCTGCTGCTACTGCTGCTATTTCTACTGTTCCTATGGCTAGCCCACAGGTTCTCGTGTTCGATGCTGAGGGCCGCCCTGTGAATTTTGACACCTGGCTCGATGACCTGCACCTCTACCTACAGCTCACAGCCAAGGATGACATCTCACTGTACGATCACGCCCTAGGCCTTGTCACTGCCCCTGCTACTACTGCTGACAGCACTGCTCGCTCACAGTGGCAGACTCGTGATGCCCACGCTCGCTTCGCCATTCGCAACTCCCTGCCGATAGACGAACGCGAGCACTTTGGTCAGCACAAGACTGCACAGGCACTGTACACAGCTGTAGTTGCTCGCTACTCCTCACCTGCCTCTGCCGCACTAGGCCGTCTCTCCCTCCCCTACCTGTTTCCCGACCTGGCCTCCTTTCACACAGTCGCTGACCTCATCACGCACCTCCGTACTAGTGAGGCCCGCTTCCGTGCCGCCATGCCTGCTGAGTTCCTTGCCACGCACCCCCCTCCACTCTGGCTCACTCTCTATCACCTAGTCACCCGCCTCCCTGACAGACTGCGTGCTGTCAGGGACCACTTCCTAGCTCGTTGCCCTACTGAGCTCACCATTGCCCTCCTCGAGAAGGAGCTCCTTGCAGCTGAGGCTAGCATAGTCGCTGTAGGTGCCTCTCGTGGCGACCCCCGTACCCCGTTCTTTGAGGGGTGTTCTCCTTCCCCCCTTCTTCCCTCTGTCGCCTCTGCTGCTGCTGTCAACCTTCTTGGTACTGAGAAGGTCGGCACTGCGTCTGCCTCGAGCGGACGCCGCAGCGGCAAGGGCAAAGGGGGCAAGGGTGGTGGCGGTGACGGCGGGGGAGGCGGCGGTGGGGGCGGTGGAGGCAGTGGGGGTGGTGGCTCGGCTGGAGGGGCGA